GGAAAGGCTCCCTCCCTGCAAAGAAAATAGAGGAACCAGCAGGCGCCTGGCCAGCCATGCTAGCACCAGTCTGGCGCATGAGGGTGGAGGACACAGGAAGGAAGCATTCCTATAGTATAGGGCACTCAATTGGCATTTCCACCTACCTGAACTCTGAGCCTTTCCCCCTTGTTCTGGACTGCCTCTCTCCTAAGGAAGATGCAAGCTCTGGCTAGAAGCCACTGGTGAGGAGAGTGTTCCTATGATTTCCAAATGTTTCAGAATCATCTTTTTGTTCCTTTAGCTGCTTGATATCATAGCATGGCAGAGTTGGAAGGATCCCAAGGGTCATCTAGTCAAAGCCCTGGCTAAGCAAGGATCCTGCCCACAGTCAGCCCTGGTTGAGCTCCAAACTCCAGCCTTCTGGTTACCATTGCAATTCTGCATAGTGTGGAGAAAGGGGAGAGAGAAATGTGTTGCTTACACTCACGTAACACTGATATGAGATCCACACCATGCAGCCCTTTCAATAATTAACGCCTAAGGGCTGTCACATGGAGCAAGCTTGTTTTCTCCAGCTCCAGAGGGCCTGAAGCAGTGACTCTCCTTCCTTAGAGGTTTTTAAGAAGTGCTTGGATGACCATTAGCCATGGGTCATCTAGTTGAGATTCCTTCATTGCAGGGGGTTGGACTAGATGACCTTTGGGGTACCTTCCAACTCTACAATTCTATGATACTATGTTCTAAAGAGCATCTAAAGCACATGACTTCCCCCAAAATGATCCGTGCCATTGTGGCTTCCCTCTCATAGACCTACAATCCCCAGAACCCCTAACAAACTACAATTCCCAGGATCATTTGGGGGAAGACATCTGGTTTTTAGAACAGGGATGGAGAGCCTGCAGTTCGCTCACCCCCGTTCCCTAGGAAACAGGAATGGGAAGCTCAAGTGCTTCTAACAGTATGGTTATAGGGAGTAACGTGTATAAAATATTGAATGTAAGTGGGTTATTAAGCTAATTGTATCAGAATTATTATGGGAATGTTAAGGAGGGAGGGGGGAAAGAGTGTAGAATTCTGGTGGTGAGTGATGATTGGATGCAGATTTGAAAGGGAGTTTGAATGTAAGGCAGTTGAGAGCAGTGGGTTCTGGAGGGGGTGGATGGGCAACTAACTATTCAGTTTAGGATCAGTAGTCTAGTCATCATTTTTGTAATAAAGCAGTATATAAGATAAAGAAAATTTAAGCCATAAGCTCAGGTACACACATCATCCTACAATCATTTAGTGAATCATCCATATAGTCTTCTTTAGTGAGGGTGCAGTACCTAGGATCTGGACCAAACATTGATATTTTTGCTCTTTTCTAGTTTCATGAGTTTATGTTCTGATTCTAACGATGTAATAGGGGTGGGGGTTGCCACACACTCCTTTTGTTCTTTAAAAAAATATTCCCCCTTGTTTTCAAAAGTACATGCATTGTCTCTTTCTTATGGAGCGTCTTATGGAGCAAATGCACTGGATGGCAGAGGGATCCCTCAGCTGCCGCTGCAGTCGCAAGCTGAGGGATGCTTCCGCAGCTGGAGCCATAGCTCCCATCCGTCGCTCACTGTAAAGCCAGCAGAGCAAGAGTCGCTGACATGCTCTGCTCAGCTCTCACTTTTCTTACTTTTCTTGCCATGGCTCACATCCACCCCTCCTCCTGCCTTGCTGTAAAGCAAGGGAAAGCACCTGTCCCAGTGTCTCCTCCTCCTCTTCTAGCTCTGGCGTCGCCTCGCTTTATAGTGAGGCAGGAGGAGGGATGGGCAAGCAAAATGAGAGCTGCGCAAAGCGGGACAGAAGCCATGTAAGCGGCTCTCGCTTTGCTTACTTTAAAGCAAGAAAAGCGAGAGCTGCTTATACGCTCTGTGCATATTTTTTTCTTGTTTTTCTCCTCTAAAAACTAGGTGCGTCTTATGGAGCGAAAAATGTGTTTGTTGTGAGACATTGGTGTTATATGCAGTATAGCGTTGGGAAGAGGGGGCAGACCAAACTATACATCAGACCAAACAAATCATAATCAGTCTCCTTCTTATGCCTGAGATTAGGAAGAATATTTTCCAGTTGGGGGGAAGGATATGGAGTCAGTCTGTGCTATCCTGACAGGAAGAGAGGCCAAACCTTTTACTGCTCACCTCTCACACCCTCATTTTATTTTATTTTTGACCATGAAAGGGGCTTTTTCAAAAAGGGAAAGTTTGGGCAAGTCATGCCAAAATGATAGTACATTAGGGTTTCCTAAACTTCCTGCTTTAGGACTACAATTCCCATCATCCCTGACTACTGGCCCTGCTAGATAGGGATGATGGGGACTTGTAGTCCCAAAACAGCTGAAGAAGAACCACGGTTTGAGAAACCCCGCTGACTTGAACAAACCCAACTGATTAAGCTACCTGATGAAGGCCCCAAAGCCCTCCTTCTTTATGCCTGAAATTAGGAAGAATATCTTCCAGTCGAGGTGACAACTTGAATAAAGTATGGGGGGGCAGGTAAGCCCAGCCCCACACAATCAATCATGTGATGCAGCATGCACACACCATTTGAATGCCCATCCACTTTGGGGGGACCAGCCCCCTGACCTATTTTTTTAATATTCTGTTGGGAGCTGCCCAGAGTGGCTGGGGCAACCCAGTCAGATGGGCAGCATAAAAGTAATAGCATTATTATTATTATTATTATTATTATTATTATTATTGCCAACGGGAGCTTGGCTCCTACGCTTCCAGTTTTGGGGAAGGATGTGGAGTCAGCAGCTATCCCAACAGGAAGAGAGTCTCACCTCCCACACCCCCATTTTATTTATTTTTTCTTAACTAACCATGGAAGGGGCTTTTTTTCTGGAAAAGGGGAGTTTGGGTGAGTCATACAAAAACTGTATTGCATCAGTTGATGTGGAAAAAACAAACAAAACCACGACTGATTAAGCTACCTGAGGAATGCCCAAAGCCCTCCTTCTTTATGCCTGAGATTAGGAAGAATATCTTCCAGTTGGGGTGTCAACTTGAATAAAATATGGGGGGGGGCAAGTAAGCCCAGCCCCACACAATCAACCCCATGATGCAGTGTGCACACACCGTTTGAATAATAATGCCCATCAACTTTGGGGGGACTGGCCCCCTGACCTATTTTTTAAAATATTCTGTTGGGAGCCGCACCAGAGTGGCTGGAGCAACCCAGTCATATGGGCAGCACACAAACAATTATTATTATTATTACTATTATTATTATTGATGGGACCTTGGCTCCTACACTTCCAATTTGGGGAAGGATGTGAAGTCAGCATACAAGTAGTAAAATTGTTATTGTTGTTGCTATGATGATGGCTGGGGCAACCCAGTCAGATGGGCAGCATACAAGTATATACAGCATATAGGGCGAAAAATACGGTACTTAATTTGTTCCGGAGGTCCGTTCTTAACCTGAAACTGTTCTTAACCTGAAGCACACCTTTAGCTAATGGGGCCTCCTGCTGCCGCTGCGCAGCCGGAGCACGATTTCATAGAATCATAGAGTTGGAATAGACCACAAGGGCCATCGAGTCCAACCCCCTGCCAAGCAAGAAACAAATTTCTGTTCTCATCCTGAAGCAAAGTTCTTAACCCGAGGTAATATTTCTGGGTTAGCGGAGTCTGTAACCTGAAGCGTATGTAACCCGAGGTACCACTGCAATAAAATTGCTGTTGTTAGAGCCGATGGGACCTTGGCTCCTATTATTACTATTGCTGGAGCATCCCAGTCAGATGGGCAGGATACAAATAATAAAATTATTATTATTATTGGTGGTGTTATTATTGTTGTTGTTTCTGGAGCCGATGGGACCTTGGTTCCTACACTTCCAGTTTGGGGAAAAGATGTGGAGTCAGCAGCTATCCTGACAGGACCAGAGGCTCACCTTCCGCGGCCCCATTCCCGCCCCACCCCCCTTTAACTGACCATGGAAGGGGCTTTTTTGGGGGGGAGGGGAGTTTAGGCGAGCCCTACCAAAACCGCTTTTAATGAGGGTGAAAGAGGAGAGCGCAAAATATGGTCTGAAGCTCAACATCAAAAAAACAAAGATCATGGCCACTGGTCCCATCACCTCCTGGCAAATAGAAGGGGAAGAAATGGAGGCCGTGAGAGATTTTACTTTCTTGGGCTCCATGATCACTGCAGATGGTGACAGCAGCCACGAAATTAAAAGACGCCTGCTTCTTGGGAGAAGGGCAATGACAGGCCTAGACAGCATCTTGAGAAGTAGAGACGTCACCTTGCCAACAAAGGTCCATATAGTTAAAGCTATGGTTTTCCCAGTCGTGATGTATGGAAGTGAGAGCTGGACCATCAAGAAGGCTGATCGCCGAAGAATTGATGCTTTTGAATTCTGGTGCTGGAGGAGACTCTTGAGAGTCCCATGGACTGCAAGAAGATCAAGCACATCCATTCTGAAGGAAATCAGCCCTGAGTGCTCACCGGAAGGACAGATCCTGAAGCTGAGGCTCCAATACTTTGGCCACCTCATGAGAAGAGAAGACTCCCTGGAAAAGACCCTAATGTTGGGAAAGATGGAGGGCACAAGGAGAAGGGGGCGACAGAGGACGAGATGGTTGGATAGTGTTTTCGAGGTTACCAGCATGAGTTTGACCAAACTGCGGGAGGTAGTGGAGGACAGAGGTGCCTGGCGTGCTCTGGTCCATGGGGTCACGAAGAGTCGGACACGACTAAACAACAAACGAAAACCGCGTCGGCTGAGGTGGATAAAAACGAACAAACAACCCCGCGACCGATTAAGCTACCTGAGGAAGGCCCCCTAAGCCCTGGCTAACTTAAGCTCGCCGTTTCTTGGCGGGAAGCGCTGAGGAGACGACGGTTAACGGAGCACCGACGACGGAACGTTCCGACTTCGCGCGCTCGGGTGGGGGGGGGGAGGAATCACGTGCCGCCGCGAGGAGGCCACGTGGCGAGCGCGCTACCAATGGGAAGGCCGGAGAGGCCGCCGCCCGGCGCGCGCTTGTAAACAAGGCAACATGGCGGCGACTGTGGCGGCGGCGGCGGCGGCGGCGACGCTCAGCCTCCTGCAGCGTCGCCGAGCGGGTCTGGCCGCGGTGGCGACCGCCGCTTCGTCTTCCTTCTCCTCCTCGCCGTCCGCTTCCTCCTCCTCCTCGTCGTCTTCTTCGTGCTCTCCCTCGCGGCCTCTGAGGGGATTCGCGGCCTTGCCGCCCTCGAGAGGCTACAGTTCTGAGGCGAAAGCGGGCGGCGAGGAGGAGCTGCGGGTGCGCTACTTGGACGACGAGCACAAAGGTGACTATACCGGGGGTGGGGGGGGGTGAGGGGCTGGATCCTCGTCGGCACGTGTCAAGGAATCCTGACGCTCCGGGAAGGAAGGAAGCGTGTAACGGAGAGGCGCTTCTCTTTCCCTCGGGCTCCGTTGAGCTCTGCCCGTTCGCCCGCTGCGGAAATTCCCCCTGACGCGCCAACCGGTTTGTCAAATTAGAGATGATGACGTGGGGCGGCTGGCCCTTTAAATGGGGGGGGGGAGGACGGGGGCAGCGACGTGCGTGCCGGTTCATCTCCACTGCTCATGCGCAGCTCAATTCCCCCAAATGAGTTCCAGTGGATGCTGAGTTCTGTCGTTGTGTTCGAAGGGGCTTGTTTCATTTCATTTTATTTTCACTTCTTGGTTATCTAGTTCCCACGCACACATAGACACGAGCCCAGGGCAGGATAGAAGTTCAGGATGCTAGTTGCACCTTATTTGGAGTCACTATTAGGTAAAGGTGAAGAGACCCCTGACTTAGGTCCAGTCGCGGACGACTCTGGGGTTGCGGCGCTCATCTCGCTTTATTGGCCGAGGGAGCCGGCCTACAGCTTCCGTGTCATGTGGCCAGCATGACTAAGCCACTTCTGGCAAACCAGAGCAGCGCGCGGAAACACCGTTTACCTTCCCGCCAGAGCGGTACCTATTTATCTACTTGCACTTAGACGTGCTTTCAAACTGCTAGGTTGGCAGGAGCAGGGACTGAGCAGCGGGAGCTCACCCTGTCGCGGGGATTCGAACTGCCAACCTTCTGATCGGCAAGTCGTAGGCTCTGTGGTCTAACCCACAGCGATACCATTAGATTGTCATTTGCACTGCTGCTAGATCTAGACCAGGCTTCCTCAACCTCAGCCCTCCAGATGTTTTGAGACTACAGTTCCCATCATCCCTGACCACTGGTCCTGCTAGCTAGGGATCATGGGAGTTGTAGGCAAAAAACATCTGGAGGGCCGAGGTTGAGGCAGTCCTGTCAACCTAGCAGTTTGAAAGCACACGAGTGCAAGTAGATTAATAGGTACTACTGCAGTGGGAAGGTAAATGGCGTCTCCGTGCGCTCGGGTTTGCATCACTGTGTCCCATTGCGCCAGAAGCAGTTTTGTCATGCTGGCCACATGGCCCGGAAAGCTGTGGACAAACGTCAGTTCCCTCGGCCTGAAAGCGAGATGAGTGCCGCAACCCCATAGTTGCCTTTGACTGGACTAAACCATCCAGGGGTCCTTTTCCTTTACCTTTTACCTAATTCTATAGAATACAGTGAGACGCAGGTGGCACTGTGGGTAAAACCACAGTGCCTAGGACTTGCCCATTGCATGGTCGGCGGTTCGAATCCCCGCGGCAGAGTGAGCTCCCGTCTTTCGGTCCCAGCTCCTGCCCACCTAGCAGTTCGAAAGCACCCCTAAGTGCAAGTAGATAAATAGGTACCGCTTTATAGCGGGAAGGTAAACAGCGTTTCCGTATGCTGCGCTGGTGCTGGCTCGCCAGAGCAGCTTTGTCACGCTGGCCACGTGACCCAGAAGTGTCTCCGGACAGCGCTGGCCCCTGGCCTCTTAAGTGAGATGGGCGCACAACCCTAGAGTCGGACATGACTGGCCCGTACGGGCAGGGGTACCTTTACCTTTACCTATAGAATACAGTAGTTCTGTATTTTGCACATGAAAGCTGTAATATGGCGCACACCTTGGGAGTAAGCAGCTTGAACTCAATGGGATTTAATTCTGAGTAAATATCAGTAGGCTTGTGATTCAAATTTTCTATTCAATACTGTATTAAAATCTGAAAGCGTAATCTGGCCACTTGTGGGACAACTCGTAATAAAGGGTGAGGAACTGCCATCACTTCTCCAAGCTAATGTGGGATGGATTGTTGAATGAGGATTTGGAAGATTGGAGTCAGCTCCCTCCCTAACTGCACTTGAAGTTCACTGGGTGGCTTTGAGCCAATCAGTATCTCCCAGCCTAATCTACCTCGCAGGGTTGCCAAGAGGATGCACAATTATGTGTGCTGGCTTGAGCACCTTGGACGACTGGAAGGAAAGTTAGTGAGAATCACAATTTCCTAATGATGTTCTTTGAACATGCCACAGCCTGATTGTACTGTCTTCTGCCACTTCAGTACTTTTATTGCTGCAGTTACTGAGGCAGTTGAGGATTCTGAACTCAAGGCATGATTAAACATTCCTATACCTTTTGACTTTCTTAGAGGCTTGACCATTCCTGATGCATTTTTCTTCTGCTAAAAGTAGGTGGGAGGATTGGAACCAAAGTACATAATGTAGAAGAAAGTTTAAATTCGAATGCAAGTTGTGTCCAGCTAGGTATTAGCTACTGAGAGGAAAACATACATTGTAGGCACAGTATTGGTTGAATAGTTGTTTGATTCAGAAATGTGGGGGAGTTTTGATTCTGTTGTTTGGGACAGTGTTCTTCTGTATTCATATGTGTCAGGGGTTCAGGGAGAGAGGCACAGATGAGGGAGGAGACTGAGAGCGAGGGGGAAGAATCCAGGAACGAGGAGGAGCAGGATGACAATGACTTGAGGGCTTCCATGAGTCTCTCAAGTGAATCGGAGGATTCCCAAAAGGGGGCGCCCCTGGTCAGGCCAAGGGGAGCCACAGGGGGGACTCGTCAGGAGCAGGGGAGCAGCAGGGAAACCCCGAGTAGGAGTGGGAGATCGGGGCCGGCTTCCCAGCCGGAACGGAGTGAAGAGGGTGAAGTTCCCAGTGTGACAGGCGGAGCAGAGCAGGAAGCAGAGAGGGGAAGGAGATCGGGGCAAGACGTCCTGCCGGAAGGGGCGGAAAGTAGTACAGAGAGTAGTATAACTGTCAAGAGGAAGGTCAGGGGTAGCGAACGCGCGCCAAGTTCAAATGTGGAGGCGCGCAGAAATGCGGAGAGCCCGGAGGAGGAGCCTGGTCCCAAAGCACGGAGGAGGGGGGAGCAGGCGTCTGGGGACTCAGCGTCAGGGGAAAGCAGGAGGGAAGGAACCCAGGGGGGCAGAAAGACCCTGCGGAAAAGGAAGGACAGGAAGAGGTGGACCAGCACAAGCCTCTTAAACTGGTGTAGAGGCGGGACTGATTCAGAGGGGACTTCAGCGGTCTAAGCCTAACAGACGTGGGGCTGCGCGCCTCGGATGTGGAACAAACAATGTACTTCAATAAAGACTTTTGTAAATAAAGTGGACTTGGCGTTGGTCTCTTGTGAGCTGGGACCTGAGGGGGCCCTGACAGTAAGTCCCCTCTCGAAAAGAACGCAAATTTTTTTTTTGCAAAGCTCACGAAGTGTGGCAGCCATGAGTGCGGAAGAACAGTTGACAGCACTACGAAACGCAGTCTCCGAGCTTTCCACTGCGGTAGTGGTCTCCCAGAAGAAGAGTGAAGAAGCGGAGGCGCGATGCCACGATCTGCAAACCAGGTGGGAACGTGCGTGCAAAGAGGGGTTCCCGGGGTCCAGATCAGAGGGAATCGGACTCGGAAGGCGGGGAGGAAATTTAGTAGCCCCCTTCGATGGGAACCTGAAGCACTACCCCAGTTTCAGAGCAGACGTCCTGTATGCACTGTATTTGCTTCGCAATGACTTTAAAGATGAGGAGGAGAAAGTGGGTTTTATTGTGTCTCATTTGCATGGAGACGCCAGAGCGTGGCTGCGCAATTTGTGGCGTGAAGATGGTCCTGCCCGCCGCGATTCTGATGAATTTATTAAAGCGATGGACGCTTGTTTCCAGTCCACCGTGGATGTTGATGTTGCGCGCCAACAGATGCACGGACTCAAACAAGGCAAAGCCACTGTGCGTCAGTACCATTCGTGCTTTTTTGCATTGCTGACTGTATTGGGCTGGGAGAAAGACTCCAAACCAGTGAGAGATTTGTTCTGGGAGGGACTCCACAGCTCCATAAAAGATGAATTGGCCAGGGGTGACAGACCTCAAACCCTAGCAGAAGTAGTACAGAGGGCTCTTGCGATTGGAATACGGCACGAAGAACGTCCTTGGCACAATGAGGAAGGTCGCCAGGTGCGTGCGCCAGCGAGGGCACCTCCTTTTATCCCCAGGGAGTTCGGCCAGGCGCATCCTTCGCCTCTAATGCGGCAGGGGGAGGAACCAATGGAGCTTGGCGGTGCTAGAGCTCAGACAGCAGCCAGAGCCCCAACGTCCGGTGCAGTCAAGGAGAAGCCTCCTAGAGGGAACAGGAAATGTTACATCTGTGATAGTGCACAGCACATGGCTAAAGAGTGTCCCCAGAGGTTCCGGAGACACACTGCAGCTTTAGCAACGGTCGCAGCAGACGTACCTCATGAGGAGCAGTTTCAGGGAAACGACAGTGCCTGGCTGGAGACAGCGATGCTGGGGCTCAGCCAGGCGAGTCTGTAGAGCAGTCCCCAGCGATTTTGCAGCACACAGACCCCTTACCACCCAAGCCAGCGGTGCAGCTCACTGCAACACTCCAGTTGCCCAATGGAACCACCCTGGAAGTCCCCATTACAATCGACTCTGGAAGCAACGCGGACTTTGTGGGGGTGCAGTTCGTCAAGCAGCATCGCATAGCGCTTCTGCCAGCTACGACGCCCCTGAACGTAGTCACGGTCGATGGCAGAAAATTGCTAGGAGGGCAAGTTGTGCAACAGACGCCTCCCATGGTGATGCAGATTGGAAATCATCGAGAAGTCATTAGCTTCAACGTCACCTGCCTATCAGACACGCCTATAGTGTTAGGCATGAGCTGGCTAGAGAGACACAGTCCAGCAGTGGCGTGGTACCAGCGACAGATCACCTTTTCCTCATCGTACTGTGCTCAACATTGCATCCAGTCCAGCCAAGGGGAGGAAGCTGGGCAGCAACTGCAACTAGGCATGGTGCAGGCAGTACCCCGCAAGTACGAGGGATTTTTGGAGGTTTTCTGCGAGAAGGAAGCTGACCAGCTGCCACCCCACAGGCCTTACGACTGTGCGATTGACCTGTTGCCGGGGGCGAAGCTGCCGACTGCAAAGCTGTA